CGTACCTGAGATAAAATTGAACCCAAGGAACAAGAATAGAATGCTTTAATATAGGGGATAATGTAAGAAAAAGACAACTTGAAGGCTAAGGGGGAAAAGCTGAAATAAACACACACATGAATGAGAAGGAAAAGTTTGAAAAATCTCTGAAATATCTGAATAATAGAAGGCCCTTTAAGAACAGAATGTAGGGGAGCAAACCAGCAAAAACAACACAGAAAACATTTCTCAGAACCGGAGGCCTGAAGGTCCGGAATGAAAAGACTGCTCATCGTGATGGGGGTTAAAGACCAACGGTCATCAGGAAATTTCAGAATAAGGCCGAAGAAAAGAGAGCTGAACCTTTTGGAGGAAGAAAAAATGACAGTTGAGACACCAAGGACTGGGGATAAGAATGGGTTCCTGCCCTAGCCAGTCTGGGTCAGTGGACAGAGCATCGGGCTGCACACCGAAGGGCCCCAGGTTCGCTTCCGGTCAAGGGCACATGCCTCCTTTGCAGGCTCAATCCTGGCCCTGCTCGGGCACATGCAGGAGACAACCAATCAGTGTTTCTTCTCCCTGTCTCTCCCCCTCCTTTCCACTCTCTCTGAAATCAATGGGAAAATATCCTCAGGTGAGGATTAACACAGCAAAACAAAATGAACAGATTCCTTACAAACACTAAAAGGCAGAGGAAAATGGGAGCAATGTCTCCCCAATTCTAAGAAAAAAAACAAACACGTTTCAACCAACAATTCGATACCTTGCAACCGTGTTTGAAAGGCAACTGGAAATAGCTCACCAACATGAAATAGGGAACCAAGAAAAAGGAAGGTGTGGGATCCAGGAAAGAGAACGAAACACGGGAGGGAGGAGAAGGCTGATGGTGAGCGCTGCTTCGGGCCCAGGAGACAGAAGGTTCCAGAAGGGATTTGTCTTAGAAGGTAATTGCAGCAGAGAACTGTCTGCCAGGTTTGACTTACGGACGGAAATTATGTGAGGGATGAGGGTGCTCACAAACCTTGAAACCATCACACTGAACACCTTAAACTTACACAGACTGCCTGTCAATAGGATCTAAATAAAGCCGGGGAGGGGGAGATTTGACTTTTGGAAGGACTGTAATGCAAGGTAAAAGAGTATTCAAGGCAGATAGTCAAAGAAAATATTTTATTTTTTATTGTGATGAAAAACATATAACATACAATTTTCCTTTTCCCCCCAATTATAGTGCACATTCGATACTATTCTGTATTAGTTTCACGTGTACAACATAGTGGTTAGACAATCAGACACTGCACAGGGTGGTCCCCGTGAGATTTCACGTACCCGTCTCCTCCCTGGCTGGTACATAGCTATTACAATATTTTTTAAAAGGGATCATTTTTAAGTCCAGTAAAAAAGTACTAGGAGAAATCATAGGATACTACTTACTAGTAACTTAGAGCCTATTCACGGACATAGAACAAGGACACTGGTATGGCTCTAACAGGAAGCTAAGATACATCGGAAGCCTGGAGGGGAAATGAGGGTGTGACTGAAACCCTCCTCTGCTGGCACAGTAGATGCAGCGGCTCTAACAGTGAGAGTCAAGAACTGGAGCAGAGCCACACACCAGCACGGCGGGAGGCGCACACCAGCACGGCGGGAGGCGCACACCAGCACGGCGGGAGGCGCAGGCCAGCACGGCGGGAGGCGCAGGCCAGCACGGCGGGAGGCGCAGGCCAGCACGGCGGGAGGCGCACACACCAGCACGGCGGGAGGCGCAGGCCAGCAAGGCGGGAGGCGCACACCAGCACGGCGGGAGGCGCACACCAGCACGGCGGGAGGCGCAGGCCAGCACGGCGGGAGGCGCAGTCCAGCACGGCGGGAGGCGCACACACCAGCACGGCGGGAGGCGCAGGCCAGCACGGCGGGAGGCGCACACCAGCACGGCGGGAGGCGCAGGCCAGCACGGCGGGAGGCGCAGGCCAGCACGGCGGGAGGCGCACACACCAGCACGGCGGGAGGCGCACACCAGCACGGCGGGAGGCGCACACCAGCACGGCGGGAGGCGCACACCAGCACGGCGGGAGGCGCACACCAGCACGGCGGGAGGCTCACACCAGCACGGCGGGAGGCGCACACACCAGCACGGCGGGAGGCGCACACACCAGCACGGCGGGAGGCGCACACACCAGCACGGCGGGAGGCGCACACCAGCACGGCGGGAGGCGCACACCAGCACGGCGGGAGGCGCACACCAGCACGGCGGGAGGCGCACACCAGCACGGCGGGAGGCGCACACCAGCACGGCGGGAGGCGCACACACCAGCACGGCGGGAGGCGCACACACCAGCACGGCGGGAGGCGCACACACCAGCACGGCGGGAGGCGCAGGCCAGCACGGCGGGAGGCGCAGGCCAGCACGGCGGGAGGCGCACGCCAGCACGGCGGGAGGCGCACACCAGCACGGCGGGAGGCACAGACCAGCACGGCGGGAGGCGCACACCAGCATGGCTGAGGCACAGACCAGCACGGCGGGAGGCACACACCAGCACGGCGGGAGGCACAGACCAGCACGGCGGGAGGCACAGACCAGCACGGCGGGAGGCGCACACCAGCGGGAGGCGCACACCAGCATGGCGGGAGGCACACACCAGCACGGCGGGAGGCGCACACACCAGCACGGCGGGAGGCGCACACACCAGCACGGCGGGAGGCGCACACCAGCACGGCGGGAGGCGCACACCAGCACGGCGGGAGGCGCACACACCAGCACGGCGGGAGGCGCACACCAGCACGGCGGGAGGCGCACACACCAGCACGGCGGGAGGCGCACACACCAGCACGGCGGGAGGCGCACACACCAGCACGGCGGGAGGCGCAGGCCAGCACGGCGGGAGGCGCAGGCCAGCACGGCGGGAGGCGCACACCAGCACGGCGGGAGGCACAGACCAGCACGGCGGGAGGCGCACACCAGCATGGCTGAGGCACAGACCAGCACGGCGGGAGGCACACACCAGCACGGCGGGAGGCACAGACCAGCACGGCGGGAGGCACAGACCAGCACGGCGGGAGGCGCACACCAGCGGGAGGCGCACACCAGCATGGCGGGAGGCACACACCAGCACGGCGGGAGGCGCACACCAGCATGGCGGGAGGCGGCTGCCTGGGGATGGTACCCACAGGGTCACACGGGCAAGAGGCTGCTTTCCTTGCGAGCCTTTTATTGCTCTTTGATTTTTTTAAGGCGGGAGAGAGAAGGCAAGTCAGAGTGGGAATTAGAGCTTTCTCCCGTGTGCTCCTCAGCACCTACTCGGAGCTTGCTGGGTGCAGAATCCTGAGACCTGGCCCGACCTACAGCATGAGGCTCTGCATTTCCCACCTCTATGCCCGTGAACTTGAAAAGCGCTGGCCCAGCAGTCCTGGTGCCCCAGCCGGTGCCCATTGCTGTAGTAAAGGTGAAGCAAGGGGTCGCGGGGCACATGGTGACCGGCGCTTCAAATGTGACCTCAGGCCACTGTCCTGGGTCCTCCACCCTGTCGCTCGCCCCTACTGCTAACCCACGCTCCATCCTCCTGGCCTGTTTTATACATTTTGGTACCTACTTCGTTTGGGGCACCTATTTCCTCACAAAATCCACCTTTACAGGATTTATCACACAGAGGTTGAAACTTTTTGTCATTGTTCTCAAATCGTCCCAGTATATTTGATTACCAAGATGGCTCTCAGTAGACTAGATGCTCACAGAGGCTTAGCAGTTGGGAGTCTTTCCATTGTTATGTCGTAAACCTGAACAGAACAGGTGAGTGAGTCAGTAACTAGGACAGCCGCTGCCTTCCAGGAAAGGGACTGAAAAGCAAACACAACAGGCCACAGAGAAGAGAGCTTTGACGGGACAAGCCGCCTGCAGGTTGTAAGAGCCCTTCTGGGTGCTTCCCTGAGGTTTCCCGGGAAGGACCAGGCTAAGGGCCTGCTACAGAGAGGATTCTCCCACTCGCGGCTCTGCCAACCTCTGTCTTTAATAACTTTTGCACCTTTAAAGTTCTGAAGGATTTATGAAGCTTCTGCAATGATCTCAAGTACACTGTTAATACATTGTATAAGCCAGTCCTTGTTTTTAGTATAAAATAGGTAAGAAAAATCCATGTTACACATTTGTTATACCAAAAGTTAAAACCATAGTTGGTGCTTGGACTACAAATTAAACATGTAATATGAAATTTTTAAAACTGAAGAAAAATCGAAACTAAGATACTGTGAATTTTAGTTTAAAGAAATAAAAACAAAATATAGTTTTAAAATGATTCCCATTAGATGCTCTTGATGTTAGTAGTGTGACTTGGTTGTAATATCGCTTCCCTCAAGACATATAAAAAGTAATTACAAACCTATCAAAGACTACATCTTAGAAGCAAGGCTTTATTACAGAATTTCCAAAAACCCCTGATTAAGATCCTATCTCCTGTGTTAGAGTGAGGGGTAATCTACGCAAATTGGCTTTGCTTTTCAGTGACCCTTGCAAACACCCTATTGGGATATTAGAAACTGCCAAGATGTTGCCTTTTCAAAGGGATTACATTAGAGATTCATATCTATCTGCATAAGGAATTCCTTATTTTGTGGTGTTCTCTCACTCATCATTCACTGATAGCAAAATTCAAAAATTATCCTGAGAGAGAGAATTGGGAATTTGTATTAACAAGGGACTGAATGGTCCCAGTGTGCCATAAACATATATTCCTTTCCCGAATGTATCTTAAAAATCTGTGCAAATAATCTCCATTAGACCCATGGTTGACTTCAATTGTTTAAAAGGTTTATGTCCAAAAAGGAGCTGGGTAAGAGCGGTGCTCCTAAAAGATGCCATTCTGCCACCGGGAAGCAGGCGCTCGCCCCGGGCCAGCTGGAGACCACACACACTGCAGACCCACTCCCCTCCACCCACCTAACACGTTTGCTATAGAACATTAAAGATTAATCTTGAATCATGCAATCTGTTCCGGGGAGGAGGTATGTGACGGTCAGAAGTCTTGAAATTTACACAAGTTAAAGTTTTTATTTTTATGCCATAATCCAATTATAATCTTTCATTTTACCCGAATCAAATTTGAAAACTTATTTTTCCATTGCATTAAATTAAAAAAAAATGTTCTCCCTCATCACACTAAAGCATTCCTTGTTATCTATTTCCAGTGCTCAGGTAATGAATGGATAAAATCATTTAAATGAGTCTCTTTTAATTATCTCCAGCAGATACACATTATCTAAAACCTGTCGAGGTCAAAACAGGTTCCTCCCTGCAGTCACCCACGCAGACTCTGCCACACAATCCAAGTTCAGGACAAATCAACGCTCTCCAGAGCACAGCGAATGAGCACCACAGACAGACTGCTCCTCTCCCGCTGGGCGCGTCGGGCCGTCCTCAGAACTCCTCCTCGGCCTGCTTGCTGCGGGCCTGCTGCAGCTGCTGCAGCCGCGCCACGGTCTCGGCAACGGTGCGTTCCCCGTGAACCTTGTTATCTCTCGTGCGGATGTTCACCGTGCCGCTGGCTTTCTCTTTCTCACCGACAACTAAACAGAAGACAGTGAGGATCCTTAGGTGGCGGCGTTCTCATTGGGCATTCGAACAGAAAGGACCCCAGGACCAAAAGCCACCCTGTAGCTTCTTCTGATTAAAATGTACAGGCGAGCCCGGCCAGTGTGGCTCAGTGGTTGAGCATCAACCTATGAACCAGGAGGTTCAGGGTTCGATTCCCGGTCAGGGCACTTACCCAGGTTGCGGGCTTGGTCCCCATTACGGGCATGCAGGAGGCAGCCGATTAACGATTCTCTCTGGTTAATGTTTCTATCTCTTTCTCCCTCTCCCTTCCTCTCTCTCTAAAAAAATCAATAAATCCATATATTTTTTTAAATGTACAGGTAACCATGCACAGTTGGGCAACTGATTTAAAATTTATTCATTAAAAAAGCAAACCCACTCTGCAATGCCAGCACTGCTGTGCTTACTGAGTCACTTAGTCCTGCCGCCTTAATAAAAACTGACCATGTGAAGAAACAAAAGGTGAAGGGGAGAAAATTTTTAGACAGTGCTGTACAAATTATTCATTTTCACACCATAGTTTTCCTTTCTTATGTCAACTGAACAAACTTAATAGTTTAAGAATCAGGATTAAAAGGAACTAAACTGATGACTATGATCCTCTCAAGCTAAGTCTCAAGATTTCAGAATTTTCCCAGGTTGTGCAGCTTGTCTTTGGCTAAGTTCCTTTCTTACCCAGGATGAAGTTATATTGTGCTAACTGTGCATTTCTGATCTTCTTATTTAATGTACAGCCCGGATCCAGGTCAATGTCCACCATGAATTTAGCATCATGGAATTGTTGCTGCACCTATTTAAACAGAGACACAGAATTCTTCAGATCCAAAATTAGAATTATATTTTGATCTTAAATGATTTTATGTAACCTGTAATTTGGAAAATCATGTAAGCATTAAAAATTAGTTCTTCAATAATTTTGTGTATACAATGACCTAATTAAATAGAAGTCTATATAAGAATCTCTCTATATAAAAGCCTAAGTGACTGACCAGTCGACCAGTTGCTATGACGCTCACTGACCACCGAGGGGCAGATGCTCAATGCAGGAGCTGCCCCCTGGTGGTCAGTGCGCTCCCACAGCCAACCTCCTGTGGCCAGCCAACCTCCCGTGGTCCCTCCCCCCGGCCAGCCAGCCCCGAATGGCCCTGATTGGGACTGGGCGAGACAAACCCGATCCGCCCCGATCACCAGCCAGGCTGAGGGACCACACCCGTGCACGAATTTGTGCATCGGGACTCTAGTAACTTAATAAAAAGAAAGTATCAGGCTCAAGAAATATTAAAAAGTGATTTTTTTTTTCCTCAACAGTGATTTCCTTTTGATTAAAAGAAGGCTTAGTCCTGGGCAGTGTCCCATACACCAATCGATGTTTTTCTCTAACATCGATGTTTTTCTCCCTCTCCCTTCCTCTCTCTCTAAAATCAATCAATATAATGGAAAAAAAACACAAAATAAAAACCTACCCCTACCTAATTCCAATGCCACTCTACCCCCAGAGTGGGGGAGGTCAGTACTGCTTCCAGCTGAGAAATGAGTAGGACCATTTTCCTGCTGAGTGAGCTTTCATAGTGCACATCAGATAAAAACAACGAGTCAGCCACAGAACACAGGTGGCTTTCATCATTTCTAACTACACTACTGCGGTGCAGTCGCAGGAATACGGTTTGTCTGAATGGTTTGCCTACTAGCTGGTTTAATGCCCATTTATTTCTTAAAGACAGCCGAGACCTGAGCGCAGTGTACTTTGATGGTCTAGAAACACGATTTCGATGTTATGAGACCATTCAATGATATTTGGATTTTTGTCTCTTAACTACTTTATTACTTTTAATTTGCAATTCTGAAACAAAGCGTTTTAATAACACAACTTTTGATTTAACATTTCTTGATAAAGAATTGTTGCTGTAACAAAACACTGTCATAGTCTTTAAGGCAGCGGTTCTCAACCTGTGGGTCGCGACCCCTTTGGGGGTCAAACGACCCTTTCACAGGGGTCGCCTAAGACCATCGGAAAACACATCTATAATTACATATTGTTTTTGTGATTAATCACTATGCTTTATGTTCAATTTGTAACAATGAAAATGCATCCTGCATATCAGATATTTACATTACGATTCATAACAGTAGCAAAATTACAGTTATGAAGTAGCAACAAAAATAATTTTATGGCTGGGGGTCATCACAACATGAGGAGCTGTATTAAAGGGCCGCGGCGTTAGGAAGGTTGAGAACCGCTGCTCTAAGGTGCAAAGAATGAACGGATATTCCTATATCTATTAGTGAGGTAGCCGTTTGGCCAGTAGGGCAGAACATCGGTCTGGCATGCCATTAACCTCGAAAAAGGTTTCAAATAAATGAAGAAATTTGCCTTGAACATAAAGCAAAACTACACTCTGAGTCACAAAGTAACTTCAACTGCATTATGCATTTGAATGTGCACATCATACTGAGGCATTTCCTACTTGCTAACATGAACCACTAAACCAGAGTGAGTAAAACAACTACCCAACTTGTCTTCTGGTCACAGAACCACCCAGGAAGGCATTAAAGAGGCCATGTGCTCTGTTTAAGCTTCCCACAGATTGAAGATAGTAACAGCTCTTTACATCACGGGCAGCTTGATTTACCAAGGATATAGCTTATGAAATTTGAAAGCCGAACAACAGATGTTAAATTTAAAGAAAAGTCAGACTTAAGGATTACCTTTTGGGCATAATCATCACATGTTGGTCCCACTGGAACTACCATTACCTGGCGAGGAGACAGCCAGAAGGGCCTTAGGAAGAAATTAAAAATATTTAATGTGGGTTTTCCTAAACAAGGACAGCCCATTCATTTATCAGTCTACCCTTTGTATCTTTTCCTGAAACATGTGTGGACCATTTAAAATCATGGCTTTTATTTTAATATCCAATAAAGACTAAAGAGAGATGAAGGAGCAGAAAGCCAACCCTCAGAGAGAAAAACCTGTAACTAAGTTTTGTCTTGCTAAGCAGATGGCAAAGCAGACGGGGGGCAGAGACCACGCCCCTCGCTTCACTACCTCAGGGACAGAACGCCATGCCCCATGCAGAGGGCTTGGCACGCTGCTGAAGAACCACACTTACTGCCATGTTATTAAAGAAGTGATTCTGCTCGAGCATGATTGATTACTTATTCCGCACAAGGGGACACAGGCTGTCTTCAGTTTATTCCAGCTCCATGTTGCAGGATGCAGCAAGCTGTCACTGACAGTGACTGCTGAGGGCATTTGGGGAAGATGAGTGGGTCTCACTACTTATTAAAAGAGGGCCCATTTGCAACTCTCTCGGGGTATTTCAGTGTCACACTTCCCGATGCTGCAGACAGCAGCGTTTCTCTGGGTCACTCCGTATCTTAAGTTGTCTGGCTAATCGGGGACACGGTGGAGGGGGCACTAAATTCTGCCCAAACTGTGCGTCTTCCCCACCAGACGCAGGTTTGGCGGAGCAGTTAGCTGAGGATCCCCTGTTCTCTAGATTCACGTAGAGAATGTTTCCCATATTTGATTTGATTTTGTGAAATATAACAGAAAGAGATTATTTCACTGAAACATATGACACACTTCCCTTCAAGTCTGAACTAACCAAATTACAAATACAACTAAAATAACTACAATGTATAAGACAGAACAGATTTACAACAGTTTAACAGAAGTTTTGCATCTACAGAATTAATGCAGCAGGCTCTACAAAACGGGGGTTTTATAAACGTCTTTACAAATTGCCCAGACAGAACGGCTTAGAAAGTAAAGTAAAATGAAAATCATGTGCTCATGTTTCCAGCAAAAACATAACCTTATAAAAGCAAGACACGAAATGCTGATTGTTTTGGAGTCTGTACTCTCAGTGGAAAATGCATGGCTTCTAAAGGGTGTCCAACTACCTGCTGATGACGGTCAGCGACACTTAGCACGGGAGCCAACACCTGCTCTGTTTACTCAGACACATCAAATTCCTTGAAAAGCCATCAAAACAGCCAATATGTTTCTTACTGAATAATCGTTCCTAATTAGAAAGTGTAACATTCAACACATCAAATTCTGAGATAAAAATAATTCCTCATAAGTACTCTTAAAGCTAAAAAATCTGGGTTTTAGTTGTACTGCCTTCCTATTTAGTGAATATCTGTCAATAGTTACAAGCGACTAACTGCAATCACTCTCCCTTCCCATCACACGCTCAACTGGACAGCAGACATTTCTTACAGCCAATGTCTGTCGCCCAGAAGGAAACAACATGAAAATTACCATTTGCCCCCATAGTTCTCAGTGAGGATGGCGATCATTCTTTCCACGGATCCCAAGATGGCTCTATGGATAATCACTGGCCTTTTCTTATCATCTCCATCATGACTAGAAAGGAAACATAAATGATTTGTCTTCCTTTATTTTATATGTACTAATATATATACATACCTTTATTTTATATGTACTATGTGTGTGTGTGTGTATACCTTTATTCTATATATACTAGTATATATACACATCTTTATTTTATATGTACAAGTATATATATATGCATACCTTTATTTTATATAGACTAGTATATACACACATACCTTTATTTTATATGTACTAGTGTGTATATATATATATATATATATATATATACACCTTTATTTTATATGTATGTATGTACAAACACACACACACACACACACACACTCCGTTCTATGTCCTTGAAGAATGTTCAGAACAGACACTAGGAACTCACCTCACAAACGTCAGATTGAATCTGATGGGCAACTGGAAATCCAGCTGGATGGTTGCGCACTGGTGGTAGCGCCCAATGGCATCCTTAATCTGAATGTCAATCTGAGAAGCAAAGGCTCACTGTGAGGTGTTGTCCAGAGTGGAGCTCACGCAGTAGTTATGAGGGCTGATTTCCCCCTCCCTTTTTTTAACCTGAAGTAATCTCTTCCCCCAAATGCATGTCACCTTACTCAGATCCACTGTGGCACTGACCTTTGGACCATAGAAAGCTCCATCGCCAGGGTTTAACTCCCACTTTTCACCAAATTCATTCAGGCTGTTTTCAAGTTGCTAAAGATAAAGCAACACTGACTTTAATCTTTGTTCCTCTGCAACCGGTCTAATTTGAGACTAAAAATTCCATAATTACTTTCATGGGTCTCTATTCTCTGCTTCGTCACTTTGTCCACTTGAATATACTCACACCCAAACCCCTTTCAAGGTTACTGCTTGAAGACTAAAACACATCCAAGCATTTCTACATCCAAAAGCAAACAGGAAAAAGCGAGCGTACTCTAACCCAGGAGCCATTTCTAATTTCCTTTCGCTTTTACCCATTTAGGAGGCTGGCTTTCTTACACGGTGGAGGAAGCCACTTGCAGCCACCCAGAATTCAAGCGCCTAAAAAACACCACTTACCTTCTCAGCATGATTCCAGACTTCAATATCTCCAAGGAATTTTTCTGGCCGAGTAGACAGGTTCAGTTTAAAAGAAAATCCAAATATGTTGTACACTGTACGCAGAAAATCCAAACAGCCTTTGATTTCTTCCTCAATCTTTAAATAAAAGAAAATGAGATGAACAAGAATAGATCCAGACACAAATGGCAAGGGAGGGGTGTTAGAGAGCAACCAAAGGACTTGCATGCATGCATATCAGCATAACCAACGGACACAGGCACTGGGGGCTTGCCCGAGGTGGGAATGGCTGGGGGCGGGGGTCAACTGGGGAAAAAGGAGACTTATGTAAAACTTTAGACAATAAAAATAAATTATAAAAAAGAAAATGACACAGCGGTAATTTTCCGTGACCTCCTTGACCTTCCCTTCACCACATTTCACCCGCCGAGCCCCCACCTGCTCCATGGCGCAGAATATGTGCGCGTCGTCCTGCTGGAACCGCCGCACCCGCGTGAGGCCCGTGAGCGCCCCCGACAGCTCGTTCCTGTGCAGCACCCCAAAGTCGGCGAGCCGCAGAGGCAGCTCTCGCCAGGACCTCGGGCGATGATCGAACATGAGGCTGGCAAAGAGAAAAGGAAAACCCGCCGGCAGTTAATACAATAACCCGCTTCTCTGAGCGTATACAAAAGGCTGTCAAAAAGCCACGGATTCCAAGTGGCTCAGACAAGCCACGTCTCTCCAGTTCTGGGCCGCACACAGCAACGAGGGCGCTGGCAGGAATGTGACAGCAAATAACTGTAACACCAGCACCGGGAACTGAGGGAGAGTGACACGTGTTCCCATCGTCGGCAGGCGCGTCCTAGTGCTCACTCCCGTAATCTGAGGACGGCCTTGAAGGCCCTATTTAAAGTTAAAACAGACTCAGCTGCCTACAAATCACGTGTCACTCTGGAAACGGAAGTCCGTGCTTTCTTGTCCTTCCCAGCAGTGCTTCAGACTCTCTGCAGAAGGAACTCGCTGGTCTCCTGGACCACAACCAGTTCCCATGGGCATGCCTCTCTCCCCCTGCCCTCCAGGCACCGCTACAAGGAGCTGTGCGCACTGAGCTACCTGGAGCCAGTCTCCCTAGTTTCCCCCAAGCTGTTCATCCAACTTTCATGAATAGAAAGAGGAAGAGCCCCAAGGCAAAGATTCCCCAAGGATGTTAATTCACTAGCACTAGGTTTTAATAGAACATGTTTCTTTAAAAGAAAAAAACATTTTATATTCTGCCAATTCACTGCTATTCTTCAATGTCCACAGATCTGAGGACCAAATCAGGCACTGAAGAAATTATACCACCACACTAATGCCGCATTTAAATACTGTTCTGATCACATAATTTGTTTTTAAGACAAATTCTTCCAAAGGAAGAAAAGCAATCTAGGATGAAATGGAACTCGAAGCTGCTGAATACCAGTGTCCCGGGCAGTTCATGGGCTTCAGCGCGAACTGCTCCTTCTCCACCTCGAAGGAGAACATGTTGTCGCTGTAGTGCTCCCAGTGGCCCGAGGTCATCCACAGCCGGCTGTTGAAGATGTTTGGGGTGACCACCTCCTGGAATCCTCGTTTCCTATATTCACTCTGTTAGAGAACAGAACGTGTGTCTAGAAATTAGTGCTCGTACTTCTGGTGGGAGTAAGAATTTAAACTTCCTACCCTCTAGTGAAGTTTAAGATGCACATATGCTATGATCTAGAAATTCCACTTGGAGGTATACACCAAAGAGGAAACTCTTACACTCCCCCATAAGGAGGCTTGTCAAAATGACGCTACTGCAGCACAACAGTAACATGGGAAAATCAGAAATTATGTCAGTGCCCACCGATAAAGGGACGGACATACTGCAGTGGTTCTATGATGGAGTCATATGTAACAAGTGACAGTAAGCGGGATCTGTGTGTATCTTAAAAAAAAATCAGTCTGACTGATACACAATGAGCCTTCCTGTATGCAAATCTGAAGTACACAAACCACTGAGGTTACGTATGTATGAGGTGGTGGACAACATGGATAGAACGGATCCATGCTGCCTTCCAGACCAGCTTCTTCTGGAAAAGGCAGGAATGCTTCACAAAGCCCACAGGGGAGCTCGTGCCCCTCACTGTGTATTACTTTACTTCAAACAGAACCTAATGCAAATGTACGTTAGATTAGGTGGTGGGTACACAGATGTTGGTGGTACTATTCTTTATAAACACACTAGCAGCCCTGCGCATGAATCCGTGCGCCAGTAGGTTGCTGTCACCCTCCTGTAGCTCTCCGCTTGCCCCCCTCCCCTCTCACCCCCCCATAGCCTGCTGCCCTGCCCCCTCCTGTAGCTCTCCGCAGCCCACTTGTACCTTGCTGGCCCACCCTTTGGTCATGATGCGCTTGGTCGTTACACCTCAGGGTGCAACGGCTAATTAGCATATTCCTCTCTGATTCTATAGGATGCGTTCAACACTTCATAATTTACAAAGACAAAAAGCAAGGTAAAGACTAGCCTGCTTTTTCAAGGAAAATATAAATGGTCAACGAGCACACACAGCCCCTGTGCAAAGGGTGACAAGTCCTAGTTCCAGTGCGGTCACTGCTTCTCTGTGTGCACATCCATGTCTATGGACATTATCACGCATTAGGAAAAAAAGTTCTTAAATTCATTCCATTAAATTTTTCTTTTAAAATACACGATTATCTTTCGTTTTAGCAGACCTTGTTTAATAAAATCGACGCATGCCCTAAAGCTACATACAGAAGAGAATAATGAGTGGGGTTTACCCTGAGGAACTCGATAAGCGTATTATAAATGTACGCTCCCTTCGGCAGGAAGAAGCAGCTCCCAGGGCTGAGCTCATGGAAGAAATACAGTTCCTGGTCCTGTAACGAAGAAAACAAAGAATGCTCACTGCCTGTACATGTGACATCACTGTTCTTGAGAATATGGTCCTGATGTCTCCTGCTTTCCTCTGGGCCTCTCCCAATGCAAAGAAAACATTCGCACATCTCAGATGTGCAATTTAATGGCACAGATTGCGGTTAATTTACAACTTAGTTCCCTGCCTGTTACATTCCTGAATCCAGTCAAATGTACCAAAGATGACATGGAACAAAGGTCTAGTTCTCTTCTATCTAGAGCAGGGGTGGGCAAACTTTTTGACTCGAGGGCCACAATGGGTTCTTAAACTGGACCGGAGGGCCGGAACAAAAGCATGGATGGAGTGTTTGTGTGAACTAATGTAAATTCAAAGTAAACAACATTACATAAATGGGTACGGTCGTTTTATTTTTTAGTTTTATTCATTTCAAACGGGCCGGATCCGGCCCGCGGGCTGTAGTTTGCCCACGGCTGATCTAGAGAGAGCTCACATGGTTTTAATTCCTTAAAGCTCTAAGATCTGGCTGTTTTAAATTTTTCTGTATTATTTTTTAAGTAGGAGTGGCAGTTAGGAGTCTGGGAAAAAGACACTGACAATGAAACAGAAAAGCTGGCTGATTCTGGGTCATGGTGAATGGCACCCCCTCCACCCCCAAGGCCCAAACTTTTCCGGGAGGTGCCGCACCAGTCCCTGCGGCTTCCTTACAGGCGGACGGACTTCAGGAGGTCAGGTGAACGTGGCAATGGATGCTGCCCCCTGCTCAAGCTTCCTACCCCACCAAGCAAGGATGCCTGGCACAGAGTGAGCACAATCTCAGAAAGAAATGTTTTCACCTGACACCTAACTTCCAGTTTGAAAACATTCAGGGCAGAGGGATAAAGGCAATGCACCTGGAATCCAGTGCTGACTCGCTGCGTGAAACTGGGCAACAAGTACATGACTCTTTCTAAAACTCAGTTTCCACATCTTTACAAGAAGTCACAGATGCTCTGGCCGCTTAGGCTCAGTGGACAGAAGATCAGCCTGTGGACTGAAGGGTCCCAGGTTCGATTCCGGTCAAGGGCACATGCCCAGGTGGCAGGCTTAATCCCCAGTAGGGGGCGTGAAGGAGGCAGCTGATCAATGATTCTCTCTCATCATTGATGTCTGTCTCTCTCTCTCTCTCTCTCTCTCTCTCTCTCTCCCTCTCCCTTCCTCTCTGAAGTCAATAAAATAGTTTTTAAATAAATAAGTCAATAAGACCAGGTGAATTTCCAAAGTATCTCTCAGCTTATGAGGCACTGCTATGCTTCTTTTACTGAACACTGTGGGTCATCAGCATTTGTCCTCAATAAAAGGAAGAGTTACAATGAATTTTTGTGCAGTACTGAGCACACTCTAGAAAGATAATGTGGACAATCAGGAAGTTACTTATGGCTTATATAGGACACAGTACGGTAATACTTGAAAGCTATACCATTTCTTCAAAGGGAAATCCTTAATACAGTTAAATACCTCACACAGCTGAATTTCAAATGAAAATAAACGCAGTCTAGACACATTATTGTTTTTTTTAACATACCCTCCCAATTTTCCTATGATCTCGGTTTTTGGCTTCCTCTTGGAACTTCTCCCATTCTTTCAACAACTTAGGATCTGGGAATGAAATGCCATAAATCCTCTGGAGGGTCTCCATATCTGCTTTCCCCTCCCAGTATGTGGAGGAATTCTGAAAACAAGGATCAACCGTGAAACAATATTCAAATCTGTCAATATCTCACTTATTTTAAGAGTTAGATGTTAGTTCCCATAGGCACCTTATGAGTCAAATTCATAGTAGTCCTTATACAAGAAAAGTCACAAAAAGTTCACACCTAGTGAGACATCCCTAGTGGGGATGAGCTAAACAGCTGTGCTCACCCGGCAGCACAGAGCTGGCTGTTCGGTTCCCTCAGAAAACCCACCCGCCACGCCCCCTCAAACCACACCTCCACGAACATGACTGATGGCAAGGGCATCTTTTAAAGCATTCGTAAGCAAAAATGGAAAATAAGGCAACAAAAAAAATCTTAAAATGGCTCAATTATGCTTATGATTTACAGTGCATTTTAATCATCGCCCTTAAAGTGTTTCTGAACTAGTAGAGACTGGCAGGACTAGCTAGGTTAGCAAGAACCACTTGGGTAATTACTACCTTAGACACACAAAGAACAAAAGCACATGCTCCTGCCCTGAGTCTGGAAGCTTCATGATGGCCCATAACTGCGTGATTTTGTGATTCCCCCAACTCCACCCCCACGTGCCCTGGTGGTGGGCGGCCGGTCAGCCACCACTTTGGAGAATTTCTGCTAAAAATGCCTAATGGCTTACAGTAGCACAGGCAGGAGAGAGCATGAGAAAAAACCCGCCCAAAAGCAAACAGGCAGGAAGAGAAATCAATGGACGTTTAAATATCTAGCCATCCAACACAAATACATTTACATGGAGAGAGCCTCTTGGGCTGTATTGCTTACTTTGTGTATTTTCAAAGCCTTAATTTTGCCAGTGTGTCTGACATGAGGACCCCGGCAGAGATCTATCAAGGGGCCACACCTAAAGGTGAAATGAAAGGAATTTCAATAAAGGCTTACAATGACATGTACACAATTGTATTTCATGACATCTGGCAGTCTCACCTATAGACGGTGGTAGTTGGAGTATTCACTTTTTCATTCAATATCCGACATTTGAACTTGTTGTACTGAAAATAGCAAAAATTATATTTTTAAAACTATCCTTTTTTACCTCTAAATACTACAGTTAACATAGAACTCGAAATACATCTTACCAAAGCACTGCACGCTTATAAATATGTTCGTGTTTCACATTTTGAAAGCATAGTTACATTTTCAAAGGAACAGAGTAGGTTTCAACTTAGTGCAGTAAACCCAAGAGTAATGACTTCAGATAACACTAATGAGTGATAGAAGAGTAGGTGCCACATGTTACGGTTGATGTACCTTAAACATTTCCAGTAAAGTTTCCTTCTTAACTTCCAACCTTTCAAAAGCTTGTTTTTCCTTAATGATTTTCTTACATAAAGTCTCTAAAGACGAGAAATCATTGCTGGACACACCCCTGGAACAGAAGAAAGTATAAAATTATTTCCACTCCATTCTACTCACACCACGGAGGGGCGAGGGGGATGTTTCTTTTGAACACTTCAAGGGATTTAATATAAAAAATTAGACTCTTGCATCATATATCAGAATTGTAAATGAAACATTTTGCATAAATTATTTTAATAATTAATATTTCCATTGGCTTCTGCCTTGGTCATTCTGGAGATTGTCCCCACTAGTGACTCCCCCCTCCACTCTATAGCAGGTTAAAGGAGAGAGGACCGGCTTCAGTTATTTCCCAGGGTACCTTAGGCCCTGCCTCCATCGACCTAGAACAAAGCTCTCACAAAAGGCTCTACACCTCTGTAAGTTATTACACACTTCAAGTTTTTTTAAAAATATATTTTATTGATTTTTTTACAGAGAGGAAGGGAGAGGGAGAATAAGAAACATCGATGAGAGAGAAACATCAATCAGCTGCCTCCTGCACACCCTCAACTAGAGATGTCCCTGCAACCAAGGTACATGCCCTTGACTGGAATCGAATCTGGGACCCTTCAGTCCTCAGGCCAACGCTCTATCCACTGAGCCAAACTGGTCAGGGCCACACTTCAAGTTTTAACAGTGGGAATGCTTGGTGACCATGAAGCAACAAGCATTATATTACTCCTCCTTTACTGGGAACAATTTAAAAACAATGTATGGACTCATGGTAATTCAGATTTCATTTCTCTTTATCCAAGGACATACTTACCCTTCCTCAAGGTACATGTCATAATAGAATCCACTTTCTATTGGTGGACCGTAACATAAACATCCTCCATAGACTCTTTCCATGGCTTCACCCATTATATGGGCACTTGAGTGCCAATACACCTGAAATTCAAAGAAAAATGAGAAGGTCTGAGACCGGGCATATGTGTTATAAGTTAATATGGTCATCTGAAAGAGATATATAGAATTTATTATAAATAAACCCAGAGAGAAAAATCTAAATTTACAAATCTATAAACTGAAGTGTGATTCTATACAGAGCCAAAATAATATAAAAGGGTGCTAATTGCTAAAGTATATTTCTACCTGAGAAATTGCCTAGTTTGTTTTCAAACTAATTCAATTCAAATTAGCCTCAGTAATTACATGGGTGGATTTTGTTCCCTGGAAACAATCGCCACTCACCCTGTGACTGCCTTCTGGACTGTAAGGGCCCCGGCCTTGAGGCAGTGTGCCCACCGAACCACGTGCATGTTCTGCCTTTGCTTGCCTGTGGAGCATCACTTAGAATTTTATCTGCCTTTTTCTTATTGGCTCCAAACAACTAGGGTGGTACAATACCACTAGAGAGTAAAAGGACAAACAGTGAGCACTGAAAGCTAATGGCAGTACCTGGCTTTAAGGTGGTCACTCAGATGAGTCAGAATGTATCCAAATCAACGTTTTTAAGATTTATTTAACAGTAAGGTACCCAAATGATTTTTAAAATTCTCTTTAAAAGCTTAAGGAATCCAGAATACTTTTGAAAACTATTGATTCACCTACATAAGTAAACCACCATCAATGAAACAAACTAAAACAACACATTTTACTTCCCTTTATATGTAAACCATCATGAAGAAATAAGGAGAAAACCTTGCCATCATATGCAAGTTGGTTTTATCGTACTTTCAGCAGATATGCACTTAAAGATGAGGAAAAAATGGAAATCAACTTCCCGATGTAAGTACTTTAGGTAATGTTCCAATTTATTTATTTTATTTTTTTTTCAATATATTTTATTGATTTTTTACAGAGAAGAAGGGAGAGAGACAGAGAGTCAGAAACATCGATGAGAGAGAAACATCGATCAGCTGCCTCCTGCACATCTCCTACCGGGGATGTGCCCGCAACCCAGGTACATGCCCTTGACCGGAATCGAACCCGGGACCCCTCAGTCCGCAGGCCAACGCTCTATCCACTGAGCCAAACCGGTTTCGGCTTCCAATTTATTTATTTAATATATACATACATCTTGCTTAAGTGTTGATTGACAGTGTAGAAAGCAAGTTTTACTTGCTTAATCAATTTCTAATAAAGTTTTAATAGAATTTCCATAAATATGCCCTCATTTTATTATCTAGTAGTGAAAATAAATTTATTCAATTTCACCTCTTGATTTCATAAAGCAAGCACTTTTATTATATTCCCTTAGTGAAAGACAAAAATGAAGACTTCGAATATAATGAGACATCAATAAGTTTTCGTCACCTCCTGGCAGTGGTAATGAGCTGGAAAACAATGCAAATGAGAATCACCATCCTGAAATGTAATGAACACGGAGTAAAAACTTACAGCCTGAGCTTCCTCATCCTCGAACTTGAGAAGCTCCAAGGTACAATCTTCCTCCAGAGGACGGTCTAGGTCCCAGACAGCTTTATTCACTTTCGCAATAACAGTGTTGTCAGCCAGGCCTTGACTTAACAAGAACAGGAAAATAAATACTATATAATATACATGCACATCTATACATGTAAAAGCCTAAGCGACCGAACGACCATTCGACTGCAGCTATGACGTGCACTGACCACCAGGGGGCAGACGCTCGACGTACAGGCATGGAAACATGGAACAGACTGATGAATCTCCTGCGGGGATTGGGCCGAAAATGGCAGTCCGACATCCCCCGAGGGGTCCCGGATTGCGAGAGGGTGCAGGCCTAGCCGAGGGACCCTACTGGTGCACGAATCTGTGCACCAAGCCTCTAGTGTACTATACTACTACTAGAGGCCTGGTGCATGAGATCTGAGCGGGCCTAAGCCAGCAGTAGGACATCCTTAGCACCACCAACACTGCGCTCGCCAGCCGTGAGCCCAGCTTTTGACTGAGCAGCACTCCCCCTGTGGGAGCACACTGACCACCAGTGGGCAGCTCCTGTGTTGAGCATCTACCCCCTGGTGGTCAGTGCGCATCATACAACTGTTCATTCCACTGTTAGGTCAATTTGCATATTAGCCTTTTATTAAATAGGAGGATATGTACTATATTATACTATACCACTATATAGAATATACATATATATATATATATATTTCTGAAATAAAATGGAAAAAGCAACAAACTCCAAAAATGTGCCAATGTACCTAAAAATTAACTACAAGATCCTGAAAATTCAGAACACTATTTTATGACATTTAATACTTATTTAAACAGACATAGCCACTCTAATAAATAAACAACGAGACTTTTCAGTAGTCTAGTTTATTTTTTACTTTCTCCAAAGAAGTTTCCACAAAGCCAAGCTACTTAGATTCCAACAGCAAAAGGGGCCAGGGGTACTAAATAACTTCTCTGCTCTACCTACTGTTTGAAATCTGTAACGGAATTTCTTGAGAGTCAATAGTAAATAACCTCACATGGACCATACTGGATCATTTCAGTTTTCCAAAGAAGAAACAAAATAACCCATACTTTAAGACTGAGAACAAAACAAAACTTCAAAGAAAACCCTTTTGAAGCAAATGGAGCATGCCTTCTTTTTGCTTCCCTTTCATATTCATTCCTAATCATCAGAACCTTTAAACAGCCTGTTACTGGTGCTATAATTTTTCACAGAACAAGAAGTTAGTCTGGACTTGTGGGAAAATGTCTTCAAGCACCCTTACTTGCAGAGCATGACTGAACCCTAGCTCTAAAGTTCATCAAGGTCTCATGTGATTCAATGTAAAATTTGGCAATTCTCAAAAAACTATTTTACAATGGAGGAGGATATTGTAGAATGTAGAGCAAAAGTGCCTGCACTGATAGGAGCCTGAATTTTAATACCCATTGCTACAATATCAGTGAGCAACAATGGAGAAATCGCATCACCAAATGACCTTCAAAATCACCTTTAAAACGACAGATTGCACTGATATTTAAAGGTCTATCCAATTATTTATAATCTCACATGGAAACTGACCCAACTATTGAGTCCCAAATCATATCAAATTAAGAAAGCATTATTCTATTACAGAGTATGCATCTGATTCTGTTACTTCTTCCCAACCCAATAAAAATGTTCAGTTTTTAGACCGGGCATGGCCCTCCTTTAGATTTAAAAAATTAGTACATTTTCTCATGTTGAATAATAGTTTCCTACCGTTCCCCTGTGAGATCATCAACCTTCATTTAAGCTTAAAACCGAGACATTTAAATCAAAATAGATTGTGAAACCTTATCTACTTGGTTTTTGTGACATGTTTGATCAAGGTCGAAGAAGTGATCATATAAAATCCTTCATAAGATAAAACCAAACTAGAGCCTCTAAGAAATTAACTTTGAATCTTGACTATAAAGCTCTACATCCTCTTGATTTTGAAAAAATCCCAAATAATATAAATTAAACATTAAAAATATGGAACAGTAACATAAAGATGCTTTGAGGATAAAACCTGGCAAAATATGTTTAAGTTTAATTACAAACAGCAGAAGATGAGGACAGGTTCGGCCGGTACCTGATGCCACACGCGATCTGGTAAGGCGTGGTTTTCCAGGACTCCGCGGCCACCTGCTTACCATCCGGCAGAGTGACTGTGATGGGCTTGCTCTCTTTTGCTGCTTTTTCTGCCAGAATGGCGTCGTGTTCTGCTTTTAGTTTATTGTACATCTCAAGACGCGTGTTAATATATTCAGGCCAAGGATTCAACTGCAAGACAACAAAGGAAGAGAGGAATAATCAGTAAGTGCTTGCTTTCCTTTTCAGAAAAGGCCGCGCCTTTAGTCGGAGCATGGGAAACAGGAAGCATATGCCCTCTACTTGAAAGGCAGTTTGGCTCAAAACCAAACCCACTGGCCGGTCCAGGTGGAAAGAGTGGGAAGGAGGTCAAGGACGTGGGCTTTCTTTCTATTGTCCTCAGGAGAAGCTCAGAAACCGAGTCTCTCCCCTTCAACATCTGGTTTTCATATCTCATCCCACAGATTGCTTTACAATTATATTTCAGTTGCTTTCCTTTTTCAATAACAAATAGCTGCCAGTCCTTCTTCCCCTCCCACGCTTTCCTAATTCTTCTCCCTGAAATTTCCATAGAGTCCGCCTGACAGTCCCATGTAAGCCCTGAGGATCTGACACAGGACACGTCTGAGACAGCACTCTGCCACCTGTCAAACCTGATGACAGCCCTGAACACCTACCTCCGCTCGCCCTCCATCTCCAGACCCTTCTTTGTTCTTCTTCTTGCCGTCTTCCTTGTGCCTCTCCTGGCCGGCACCCACCTAGAGAAGCAAAAAGAAAAGACGGTTTCATATTTCAATCTACAATGACACCCCTTCATGCTGCCCCCAGAAGAGTTTAGAGGATGCTATGTTAGCATCTGTTTTTTAAAGAGTGAAAATCTGATTTTGAAAGACTAGAAAATCCGAGCACTGTCGACCACTGTAAAAGGCAAGTTAGCAACTTAAATGAAGACAAGTCCTAAAAGGCAGAGATAATGTCCAAGTCCTCACATTTATGTATTTTGCCTGTTCCCATGACTCTGGCTGCAGGTTTTCCTGGACATATACTAACCATGTAGCCACAAACAAGCATGAGGTCTATTCAGTAACATTTTCAGGGGGGAAATCGTGCAATATGTATCCATTCATTCCACATGTACTAAGAGCCTCTGCGCTCATGGTAGTCTGTTAAACCCTGCGGAAGATGCAAAACTGAGACCCAATCCCTGCCATGCGCAAATGTAATCTCTCCAGGGAAATGAAGGCATGCATGTGTGAAAAACCCCGCGAGGGGGGAGAGAACACAGTTGCAACACCGTGATTCGATGTAGAATAAGCTAGGACGACAGGCTGGATCTCGAGAACGGAGGACATGTGTTCTAGGTGTACACACACTCATTGTCGGAAATATTAAAAAGAGACAGTGACAGAGCGAGAGAGTGAGAGGGACAGACAGGCTAAGGCTGACTAAGGCAGGATTGTTTTAGGAAATAATATGTTAAGACAAACTAGGGCTCAGACAGAGCAAACCCTAAAAGTTACCCTAAGGAATGTGGACTTCCATTGGAAGCACACAGAGTCACAGAAAGTTTTATAGGAGTCCGGTACAAAGAGGCAGCCAGCAGCAGAGCAGGTCTACACCAGTGGCTCTCAACCAGAAGCCATGTACGCCCCAGCGGACATCTGACAATGTCTGCAGGTGTTTTGGGTTGTCATGACTTGGGGGTGCAACTGTCATCTAGGAGGTAGAGGCCAGGGACGTTGCCAAGCATCCAACGATGCACAGACAGCACCAAAGGAGTATCAAGTCCACACAATGTCAAGTGTTGAGGTCCAGAAAACCTGACCGACAGGACGGGGTATGGTGAGAGGATTTTCTCAGAGATGCATCACTTACTTCAGTCACCTCAGAAACGCCCGAGGCAAACGGCACTACCCAAAATGTCACCATGTACCAAGTTCTTCCACAATCACATCTGATTTTCACGGCCACCCTGTGAGACGGCTATTATTGTTATTATTATTATTATTCCCATTTTACAGATAAATTAGTTGGAAAAGTTGGACAATTCTTCTAGGTTCACACGACCTACGAGTGGCAGGAAAGGCATCTATCCCGGTGTTGACAGCGGCCAACTGTAAGGAGTTGCGCTCATCAGCGGTGAGGAAGTTCTGCGGGTAGAGCTAGGGATGTGAAGGGGACTCTATTATAATTTTGTATGCTTATGACCTTTCATTTTAGGGGATAACTGTGTGTTTTTCTGAGATACTGTCCTATCACTCACCAACATAAAGTATAGAATTCAATGGTTTTCAGTGTGTTCACAGTTGTGCAACTACCACCACAATCAATTTAGAACATCCGCATCACCCCAGAAGAAATCCTCACCCATCAGTAGTTACTCTCTGTCCCTACCGCATCCCCCTTCCCCAGCTCCTGACAACCACGAACCTGCGTTGTCTCTACAGTTTTCCACCTTCTAAACATTTCATAATATGTGGTCTTTTGAGACTGGTTTGTTTCACTTAGCATAATGGTTTCAAGGCCATCCAACTTTCGCTTCAATACTTCCTTCCTTTTTATTGTCAAGTAACATTCCATTCACGGAGAACTTATCTGGAGAAAATAAACATTCCACATCCCGTTTAGGTACTTCCTTCCTTTCATTGTTCACTTATCCGTTTCACAGATGGGCATTTTGGCTGCTCTCTCTCATCTTATTTTGAGGACTGAATGAGTTCATGCATGTAATCAGTGCCAGACCCCAGAGTTGGTACTCAATCAACATTAGCAGTTATTATTACAGAAGGGAGAAATCACACATTTACCAGCCAGGCCTCCAATTAAGAATGGCACAGCAGAATATTTAGGGGCACGGAACACTGGGCTACAGACTATTAACTAAAAAGTAAAGACACCATTTTTAAGTGAAAACAATATAGATGGGAAAAGGTGTATGGACAGACACCATTTACTACTTTTAATTTAATTTACATCGTTTAGAATGTACGCACATGCATTTTCCCCAACCAAACCCTGAGTTAGGGACGTCCTCGTGTTACTCATGAGAAAATTGTGGCTTTGAAGCTGGGTTGCGTCTCCTTTAGCTCAACGCCTCACCTCGCACTGGACCAGTGCAGCCGCCCCCTGTGTGTGGTCTCACCTCTTCCCCACGCACCTCCCACCCCAATGCCAGCGTGATCTTCAAGACTACAGTTCACCTGTCACTTCCCTGCTTAGAAACCTTCACTTGCAGGAAAGCATTCCAGCCATCGGCTGCCTAAGATCCCTCCGACGGCTGCGGCTCCTCCTTCAGCATCTCTCTTGCAAGCAAAGGAACCCCACACACCATTCATTCATCAGCCTTTTCACTGCCTTCCCTGCCTTTCCCTGGAAAGCCCTGCCCTGTCTGGTTGACCTGGGGGAACTTACACTCATTCTTCACACTCAATTCAAGAGCCTCCCCACGCAGAACTAGGCACCCGCTTGGGTAACCCCTCAGCAGAACGGCTGTGTCCCTGTCTTCCGCACCCCAGGCTGGGTCCTAGTCCCCTGCCCGGGTGTATGGCCCGGCATGCAGAATAAATACCTGACGTTTATTTCTTAATCATAAAAAGTAAATACTAAACACACACACACACACAAAACACCTTGACCCGGTGGCATGCAAGTGACCCGGGAGGGGGGTGTTCCTAAGCAAGGGATGACACAAAGGTAAAGTTCAAAGGTGAGACGATCAGGGGTGTGAATGAGATAAGGTCGCCTGCGGCCCAGGCAGGGCAAGTGTGAAACTTGTCCAGGGGGTCAGGTCATCGGCCTCCACCACTGACCACCCACCCAGGCTGGTCAGACCTCGGGAACCCGGTTTCTCTTCCTTAACCCAGAGGCTTCTGCCCTGAATGGGGTCTCAGGGTTCAAGGAGGCTCTGCAATGCTCCTCTCGCCGCAGGTGAAGGGAAATCACCAGGCCGGGGGCCCGGAACTGCCTCGATTTCCAGTCCGATGTGCGGTTCTGAGCCGCTCGCTCCAGCTCCCAGTTCCCTCACCTGCCGAGAGGATGGAGCGGAGGAGCCCTGCAAGCCCCGCCTGCTTAATGAATGGGCGATTCCGCCGCTAACGGGGCCCTGGCTTGTCCGCCGCCCCCCTCGGTTCCTCCGTCCCACACGCCCGGCCGCTGCCTCCTCCGCCCCCACTCCCCGGGGGGCCGCTGGGCACCGAGAAGAGCCCCCGCCCGCGCTCCCGACCCCACTCACCGGCTTCTCCTCGCCTTCCATCTTCCCTGAAGGGCTGCTGGCCTTCTCCTCGGACATCGGCGAACCGGGAAGAGAGGACGGAACTCAAAAGCGACGGCCGGGGGAAGAGGAGCGGGATCTCGGCGCCACAGCCACTAGCCTGGAAGGGCCCGCTGATGCAATCCACCAGCGCCCAAGCCCCGCCTCCTAGCGGGCAGCCAATCAGAAAGGGGGGGAGGCGGGCTCTTCCATCTCTAAACCAATGGCAAAGTTTATTGGGGCGGGTCTAGGAAATCAGTGCGGCGTGGGAAGAGGAGAGGGACCCTTACGCCCCCCTCCCCAGCTCCGACGGCACCCTTTCCGGAGCCGGGGCCGCAGTGCGCGTGCGCCTTCCCCCAGAGAGCCGGGCCCATTAGTCCAGGGCCTTCCCGGCCACCGTAGCGAAGGAGTGGGTCTTGGTCGGAGCTTCCGGGAAGTCTCCGGAGCACCACTTCCGGGGTCATCCTTCCACAAAGAACAGTGGCCTACAGCCCGGCTCGACGTCTTCATTCATTCATTCCTCACGTGGCACGTAGGTAGGATAGTCTCGTCCACACAAAGGGATTCGCGGAGCCTCTTGCTTAAAACTCTCCCGTGACTCGTAGCTGCTCTTGGCATAAAAGTAGTCATGGCTTTGAAGGCCCCCGGCGGCCCAACTTTCTCCACCCCCCGCGGCATACGGAACTCTGGCCACAGTGACCTTGTATTTCCCCAGGTCCCCCCACAAATGTTCGGGTGCGCGCTGAGATTGGCCTCCCCACCCTCACCTCTGCCTTCTCCCCCGCCCCCCGCACACTTTTTGCCTGTTTAGCATCTATTTATTTGTCAGATCTCAGGAATAGTTTTTTTTGGAGAACCATTTCCTGGCCACCCGCACTGCATGGAGCAAGTCTCCCTGTTGTATCTGCTGGTAGCTTCCTGTAATTCTCCTGGTAGCACCAATCAGGTCAATTTTACAATTAAAAAAAAAAAATCATCTTATTGTGTCCTAGGTGGAAAACGTCACAAAAGCACAATTTGCATATTTTTTCCCGCATCTAGCGAATGTAAGCATGGCACACAGTTGATGTTCAATAAATGTCAAGGGAATTCACGAGTATTGAGGAGTATTATGTTAAGTGAGATAAGCCAGTCAGAGAAAGACAAGTACCATCTGATTTCACTTATATGTGGAATCTAATGAACACAGTAAACTAACAAACGAAATAGAAGCAGACTCGGGCTGCTTTGTTCGTAATAAAGCAGGTCCCACCTAAAAAAAAAAAAAAAAATAGAAGCAGACTCATAGATTCAGAGGAAAGACTGACAGCTGTCAGAAGGGAGGGAGTTAGAGAGAGGGATAAAAAAAAAAAAAAAAAAAAAAAGTCAAGGGATTAAGCAAAAAACAAACAAACAAAAAAACCACCAGCCCTGGCTGGTGTGGCTCAGATGGTTGAGCATATCCCATACCCAAAAGGTTGCCAGTTGGATTCCCAGTCAGGGCACTTGCCTTATGCACTGGGTTCAGTCCCCTGTTGGCGTGCCTATGGGAGACACCCAATCAATGCTTCTCTCACATCAATGTTCCTCTCTCTCTCTCTTCCTTCCTCTCTGTCTAAAAAACAAACAAATACCAAAAATTCATAGTTACAGAGAGGTAGAAGAGGATAACGGGAGGATAAATGGAGATAGAAGACTTGACCAGGAATGGTAAACAAACAAGACAATATACAGCTGATGTATTATAGAATTGTACACCTGAAATCTATATATTCACCCCAATAAATTCGACTAAAATTACTTAAAAAGAAAAATTACCTCTTAATTTGTATTTGTGAAAAAGAACCCCAGAACCCCTATACTAATTAGATTTAGAAGAAGGTTAATGTGGAATAGATTATTGGTGGTACTTGGTGGGTATTCTCCTTAAAACTTCTAGGAGATACATACAATTTTAGTAGAGTTAAGTTGACGATTCTAACTAGAATTGCCAGAATCATTAGAATGATAATCAACAGGATCTAATCTCACCTTCTAATAGAAAACAATTTAATTATGCTATTTAGACATGTCTGCCTGAGTTGTATATTAATTTTAAATGGGGATAATGAAGACCAGAAAGATTGAGCTTACTGAATTTGCTAGAGGCTGAACTGTACAGGCTAACAATTACGGATTGTGCTTACTGCCATGCAACTTGGTCACTAGCAGCTTCTCTTAACCTCTCGTTCTCTTTCAACCTAGGAACTGGTCCTGGCCTAAGAACTGCCAAAAGGAAAAGCAGAAGGCTTTTCTGAAAGGTTGCATGTGATGCAAAAATGTAGAAGCTTTAAAAAAAAAGCAGTTGCTGGTTTCCCAGTGGCACAGCGGCCTCTGGTGTTAGGAAGGGGTCTTCCTTCCATCACATGCACATTTAGGCCTACAGATCTCAGGTCCAGAGAACAACAGGTTATTAAGCAATTTTTATATATTTACTTCCACCACCACCAACAGGGTGCGCACCCATGAAGCCGGGCTTGGTGCTACGAGGACTAACCTAGCCCTCGTGACCAGAGGGAAGTGTGGACTGTAGCAGCTGTTTCATGTCACTTCTCTCCTTTCTTTTACCTTCTCCCAACTTTTCCTTGTATCACATATGAAGAACACCCAGAGTGGCTAACTTTGGGTTTGCACGAGGGAATGTGTTTGAATCAACATGAATCCCTGATGACACACACTCTTAAGGGACTTCATGTGTCCCTGGTGCTGGGGATAGAAATTTTTCATGTGGATGGAAGACTAGAGAGGATGTTGAGGGGGAAAGATATAGCCTGTATCAATGGACTCCTGTGCCTTTGGCTTCCAGTTCCTTCCAGCCAATGGGACCTTTAACAAGAGATGGGAGGGCAGAGAACAAAATCAGGGTATTCATTCCCGTGGCTCTTCCCTGGGGGGAGGCTGCCTTGGACTATTAATGTTTTACTACCAAAGGTCACTGCCATCTCACGGCAATCTCTTTACACAACTCCTTCCTCCTAGGTCCCAGTAAACTCATTCTCCTCATCCTCCTGGCCTGGGAGTGGTTACAGGTTTCCCACTATTATTGGCCCCAGGTTTCTGACCCTCTACACTTCCCCATCCTTTTATAACCCCTTGTAAATAAACTCTTTAAATGACTCTAATTTTAGTTTGCCCTCTGTTTCCTGTTGGGCCCTTGTGTGATGTATTCGTGTTTCGCAGCTATAAAATGGGGATGAGACTAACCCATGATTCTGGAACTTGTTGGGAGAATAAAATGAAAGTAGATGTATGAAAAGTACTTCATAAACCCTAAGGGCTGTAAATGTTAATTATGTTTGAGGAATGAATGTTCTGGCTAATTACCCTCTCAGGTTCATTAGAAATTATCCTGAAGAGTTTCCAGGAATTAACTTCACTGTTGTCATCTCTCTCTCTCTCTCTCTCTCTCTCTCTCTCTCTCTCTCTCTCTCTCTCTCTCTCTCTTTGTTGCTGAGAACCTTAAATGGTTTTTCCTTGACAAGAGCAAAGATGGTCTTTATCCTAGCATTCAAGGACCTTCACAGCTTACACTCTAATCACTTTCCCGTTCATCTTCCTTCTCTGTCCTCATCAATTCCAAACAAATGGATGAATCCCAGGAGAGCTGACACTATTTTTCTGTGTCCTGATCTTTGCTCGTTGGTCATGCACTTACCCCCTCAGATTCATCTAAACCTTGCCATCTCTCCATGCCCAGCATGAAACCTCAGCAAATTCACAGTTGCTATTCGTATCTGGATCACATATTGGGTAGACGACTCTCTTGGAAATTAATGAAATGTCGGAGACTTTAATGTGCCTCATAGCAGTTACGAGCCACATTTTCAGAGTTGCTCACCTCACCCTTTTTCTGTGCAGGCCCGTAGGACTCAGCCTACTTCCCTCCCTTCTTACGATGCCAGGAGCCACGTTCTTTCCAGAGATTTTTCTCCTTCCAGGATAGATTGTGAGATGGGACTCGTCTCACCCACTCTCTTGTAGCTTGACCCTGAACTGAAGTCTGTAGTGTTTCTTATTTTAAACATTTGCATTTGCCTGTGCAGAAAGTAGCGAATAAGGGGAATGACAGCTAGTAAATGATGAGCTTGATGAACTTTGCTATATTCTAATGCTCTCCGTCCTCTGCCTTTATGTCTGGGTCCTTTCCTGCTCTGAGGTGTGTTTCTTTTATCTCAACACGGAGCTCAAGAAGCACCAGTTCTTCAGTCTCTCACCAGTCAGGGGCCCTCTGACTGCAAATGGTCATTTACATCTCAGGAGGCCCCTGTGTAGCTGCCTCTCATTTAAACATCTGTGCTCCAGGTGGAAATCTCATCTTAAGAAGAACTGCTACTTTTAAGCAACTCATTTAATCCTCATAGTTATTCTGCAGGGTACCTCAATCCTTGAGAAAACAGGCTTAGTGTGGGTTAGTTAAAGGTATACAGTTAGCAAAAGCAAGTCTATTTACCTCCAAAATGTGCGTTTTCTTCTATTTTTCCAACGGCATTACACACAGTAGGTTATTTCCTTCAGTCACAGGCTATCATATGAAAGCATAGGAAGGCACTCCTGTTGTTGTTTGGATCTTAATGTCTGTATCTTTTATAAATTTTAATTTTAATATTTAAGAATATTATCTTCATGTTACTTATGAAGCTAACTGAAGACTGAACATTGTTTTCTGTGTCACTATATTAGCCATTGCACCGTTACCGGAGGTCAATGACTCGCATGTGTTTAGTTTACATGTATCAGTTAACTGTTCCTAAAAGGCTCTCGAGTTAAATAGGTTATCTTAATTATTTTCCTTTCTTATGTATAGGGTAATTGGAATCCCAATTCTAATTCTTCTTTGCTGAATGACAATCTTACGAATGAAGATTAATCCCAGCACATGAAAAACAAAGCAACACTGACAGATGTTTAAGATTGTGTGACGCTAAGGGTCCACAAAGAAATGGGGTCGTGGTAAAAGAATGTGATGGCATTAGGAGGTGAGACCCTTGGAGGGTGACTAGGTCTTGAGAGGAAAGGCCCTGTGAACTGAGACCTCAAAGAGCCCGCCTTACCCCTTCTGCTGTGTGAGGACGCAGCATAAAGAGCCATCTAGGAAGGGGCTCTCA